ATGCCTACTGTTGGAAGCCATCGAGTTGGTGATGTTGTGTTATGCAGCAGTAGCTAAGCAGTACAGGAACCCGGCTGAGCCAGGCCAGGGATTGGGAGAGAACAGTTCTCATTGAGCTCACTGGTGCCATTCTTGGGCACGCAGCATCAGATGAAGGTGTGTTCTTTCCTAACACAGGGAGAAAACTCCCCCATCTGTCCACAGACACCGTGCTCTAAAGCACTGGCTCCTAGTTAATGCCCTGGAGGGTAGATTGGTCTAATAGATGAAGATAAGCCTGTAAAGTCTCTTAGACTAATTCATTCATTCTGTAGCAGATAGAAAGATTTCTTTAAATAATGGTGACAACTGAAATATGCTGAGTGAACTTCTGGGTCAGCTTCAGGGAATTGGGCAGGGTTCATATGTACACAGATCTATGGATCTTTTTTGGAAACTATGATTCCATTTCTACTAGACAGCTCTCCTGTCTTCACTGTGTATGGCTCCTGGAAGGTCACAAAGGAGACACTGAAGCTGCCAGCTGTCATCTGGGGTGTCCACATGCCTGGATGGGGCCAAAGAGCTGCTTTCCTCCCGCCAATCAGCTCTGTCCTTGTCTTCTCCTTCAATATCAAGTTCAGAATATCCAGGTACCTTGTAATCTGGTGAGAGAACAATCTTTTGAATTTGGGGAGAAGAATAGGGTTGGTTCAAACTTGGTTTGTCTAAAGGGGTTTTTGTCTTGAGAAAGCTATTTTCTAAGTCTTCCCCATAGCCTTGACACTTATACACATTCAGTGGAAAAACACAAGTATTCTTGTATTAGAAGAATTTGTCCCTGTGTATTATTATGGAAGTGGGTGTAAGACTTACCATCAGTCAACTCTTGACTTCTTTTTCTTCTATCAGAGATGACCTGTCTGTGGGACATGAACTCAGCTGTGGAGTGTAGCCCAGATTTCCTGAGTCCTTTTCAAAGCCATTAGTAGAGCCCATCAGTTCATGTGGGCTGACTAACAAGGAGAAGACTGAGGACACACAGACCCTATTGCCACCTGGGGAGCATTAGGCGCTAAAATCTGGATCCTCTGTGTTTCCTACTTTATGAAGCCTTTCTCTGTCCTACCCTTCCCTCTACCTCTCCCCCAAAGTAAACACCAACTCCTCAGTCTTCTCAAAGTAACTTATACTTCTCTGAGACTGATTCCTGTTTCCCTGTCCAGTTCCCTCACCAGACTATAAACTCCTGGGAGGATGAGGAATGTATTATTTATTTCACATCCATAGTGCCAAGAGTGATGTCTGGAATATGGTCTTGGAGACTGCACGGATGTTTGTTAAATTAAGTAATACACTTAATTTCAGTTCTAATGAGGATGGTACCAAGCTGGCATCACTTACAGAGAAACCTGCAAAGGAACAAGGTGGGACCCTGTGGTGCCCACAGAGGTCTGCCACTCAGATCCCTTTAGGAGAACCTCCTGTACAGGAGGTGACTGACAGCTCAGATGCCACCTGTTGGACCCACCATGTCATTCATGCAGAGGCCACACTTCCACCAGCTGCCCTCAGCTAATGACCGAGCACGGCAAAGGAACAAGAGCCCATTCACTCCTGCCTGAGGTAGGATCCTTGCAAAGGGCCTCCTTCACTTGGGGACTCTCCATGAACCTGACCAAGACTTCTTCAGAACTTTGCTGAGGTCTGAGTCTCTTTCAATCCAATCTTGTCTTCCCTTTCTCCTCTCCTCTAACACCTGCATTGCGGTCTGATGGTTCTTCTTATCTACTCTCGCTTTCTCCTCTTTTACTCTTCACTGACATTTCCCTGAATAAATCTTTTGCATGTCTGATCCCATCTTGGGGTCTGGTTCTCAGGAGTTGTATAATAACCTCTCTGTGCTTCATGCTTCCCCTGAAAATGGGGATAATAGGAGCACCTACTTTATAGTGTGTTGTCAGAATTAAAAGAGTAATATGCATAAAGCACTTAGAATCGTGCCCTGGTGGATTGTAAGTGTAATGCATATGTGAGGGAAAACAAAAACAAAATAGAGGGGCAGTCAGCTGCCTTTTCAAGGAGCCTGTCAGAAAAGAAAGTCCAGCAAGGAACGGGTTAGAAATCTCAGGCTCAAAGGGAATCATCTATACATGGACTGGCTCATCCTTTCAAATGGATCTAGAACTCCTACCTAAAAGGAGGAAAAAATCTGAGTTGGGCCTCTAGGAATAAGAATATTTCCAGGTCACCTGGGTGGCTCAGTGGGTTAAGCCTTTGCCTTGGCTCAGGTCATGATCCCAGAGTCCTGGGATCAAGCCCTGCATCAGGTTCTTTGCTTGGCAGGGAGCCTGCTTCCTTCTCTCTCTCTGCCTGCCTCTCTGCCTACTTGTGATCTGTCTGTCAAATAAATAAATCAAATCTTTAAAAAAAATCACTATCAAGTGATGTTGTTTAAAAAAAAGAAAGAATATTTCCTAAAAATTTACTGAGATCAGAATTAGGTAAATGATCTGAGCAAACAATTCATTTAAAACAATTAGAAACTTGCAAACTGCTCCATTATGATGAAAATGGATATCCTTCCTTCCTAACAGAAGGGTTTTTCACAGATGTATTTTGAAAGATTTAATTCTTTGAAAACCCTTTGTTCCACCTTGTTACTTGAGTAAATTTGTAGACAATCTTTTTATTCATTTCTTTCATTATTTGCTATTCATCATTATTAGTGTATTATAGAAAAGTTCCAAGAACAATTCATAGTAATTATAATTAAAAACAGTGATTAAGCCCTCAACATGTATTAAACGTGCTCATCTCAAAAAGTTTCGTGTACACACTGAAGACACCAAAGTTGATGTGTGTAACCAGAACTTTACCCTCAGTTCAGCTCTGTACTCGTATATTTAACTTCTCAATTGACATGGCAATTGGATGTTTGATGAGCATCTCAAATTTGACAGGACTAAACCTGACCTCCCTCCTCAAATCTGTTCCTCCGTCATTTCAGTCAATGGTATCTCCATCTAGTTGCTCTGGCCAAACCTCCAGGAGTCCTCCCTTCCATTCAAATATTCATTCCTCTCCCATATACAGGGTCCATGTGTGTTGCAGATGCTGGCTTCCTACATGATCCAGTAGTGCACGCTGACTGGGGTAAGCCAATGGGCACATTCCATTTATCAGGCCACAGGCCAATCAGAGTGAGTCTCGGGGATTTTATTTGGGAAAATGGGGAGGGAGATATACCTTTGGTCTCCTACTGAATGTAAAAGAGAAGGTCTGGATAGTCTTAACTGTGGTAAACAGCCCTTCTTCAGTTGGGAGAGGAGCAAGCCTAGGTATAAAACCATTAGACACCATAGACAAAAAAGCATGGGAGCAGGAAAAAAAGTGGCTCTTGAAGAGGTCATGAAGTTGTTGGATCAATAAAACCTCAAGCTTCCCCACCTCTGGGCTTTCTAGTCATGGGAACCAGTATATTCCTTGTTGTAAGGCAGTTTGAATTAGAGCTTTCGGTTCATATGGAAGCATCTTGATTAATACAGATCAATGTTCTCAAAACACATCTTCATATGTTGATATACTTGCATATACTTTGGTGAAACATGGAATGAAAAACATTTTCACATCTCTGTGGTTTTGCCTATGTTGTTGCCTCTTCCAGCCATGTCCTCTTGGCAAATCTCCACCCAACTTTCAAGACCTAGCACAGATTGGTGCTCAGTGATTGGACATGGCCTAATTTTAAATACTTGACTCTAGTGAAGTCATTCATTCTTTCCTTCAGTGAGATGGTCATTGGTCATTGAGATGGTCCTTGAGTAGGTCACTAGTCTCCTACTACTTGCCAGGCATTTGCCAGCCATATAGAACACATAAACGCCTTAAAGAGAGATATGCAGACTAGTAAATAAGCAATTCTGATCCAGAGAAAGAAGTTCTGAGATGGAGGAAGTTCTGGGTGCAGCAGTAATGCAGTGGGGGACCTCTCATCCAGTCTTAGGGGATGTGGAAATGGAGGTGAAGAAAGACTTCCTGGAAAAAATGCTGTCTACACACAAATTTAAGAATCAGGAGGAGTTCAATAGGCAAGAAGACAAGAGAAAGAACATCCCAGGATGTGGAAGAGTTTGTGCAAATGTCTAGCCACAGCTGAGATCAGGGCCCTGTTGGGGGTAGTGCGAGCATATCGATTTCTAGAAGGAATTTGGTAGAGATGGTGCTAGAGTCCTCAGTTCAAAACTGGACAGAAGGACCTCAAAGGCTTAATGAGGGATATGGGTTCTTTCCTGGAGACCATTAGGAGGATCTTTGATTTGTGCTTTAGAAAGATTAAAAAGGCTGCAGAGAGGAGAGGAGTTTGAGTTTGCTGGGAGCAGGGAGACTGGTCAGGAAGCATTGGATCTGCCCCATCCTTGTCTCCTTATGTGTCATCTTTCCTGAGATGTCTGATTAGGAGCAGACACAGAACGTAAAGATGATGGGAAAGTGGCCAAGTTTGATACTTGCCATGTGTACACCCTGGGATGTGGGTCATCTTGGATCTGAAAGTCTGTCTTAACTGATCTGGATGACAACAATAATATTAACAATGGATATGACATCTCTGCCAAGGAAACAATTTTCTCAAGCTCAAATGCCCATGTAATATGTAGCAAACTTCAACCATCATTTGTGGTTCTTCAGACCAACTCCAAATTTCGGATTTTATTTATTTTTTTTTTAAGATTTTATTTATTTATTTGACAGCAAGATAGAGATCACAAGTAGGCAGAGCAGCAGGCAGAGGGAGAGGGAGAAGCAGGCCCCCTGCTGAGCAAGGAACCTGATGTGGGCCTCAATCCCAGGACCTTGATGATCATGACCTGAGCCAAAGGCAAGTGCTTAACCGTGCCATCCAGGCGCCCCCAATTTCAGATTTTAATTGTGTTATCCAAAAGAGTCATGGGAAAAAAGAACATGATAACGAAGAGATGTATTGCTTCACCAATAGATTTTATTAACAGTAAGATATGCAGTGGTCACATGTCAGTGACTCCTAACATGGGGTAAGAGTGAGCAGAATATCTTCCCTCACGGTTTCTTGACTACAGAAGTTGAACCTGCAGAGAGAAAACAACAGAAAGTCAGCTTTTCCTGGTGGACTGCTGGTGTGTTGAGCATAACACAGCCTCTCATCTCCCCAGTCTGAGCAAGAACCACTCCCTGTGCCTGAGACCAGACACTGGCCAAGGGAACACAGACCTCTTCTGTATAAAGGACTGCATTCTCCTTTCCAGTGTTCTTTCATAGCTGCGCAAGAGCCGAGAGGAAGTGTCATTGGATGCCCCCAAGGACAGGGAGCGTTCATTTGCCATATCCTAAAGCACCCACTAAACACTTGGCTATTGTCAATCAGTGCAACCTAGGAAGGGCAGGGTCAGTGGCATGATAAAAAATCAGCCCAAGGGAAATTTCCGAGGTCCTGGTGTTACCTTCACTAGGCATTCTTACTTAATTCAATAACCAAATTGAAATGACTAGCATTACTCACTAAGACTGAACAAAACTTAGTTTGCCTAGGAGCTCATTTTCTTCAATGACATACATAAGCATGTGCAAAGGGCTTGGTACATAAAAGGTACTCAGAAGGCACTCTCTTCTTTTCATCTTCATTTCCCTCCCTGTGGTCTGATGGCCAGAAGACTCGCAGATAGAAAATTAAAGGTTAAACATTACTAGTGATAAAGGACATGAGAAAGGAAAGGCACACATGATCGGTATATGAATAAAAGTGAACTGAATTTGTTTTGTGGTAGTTAAGAACTTGCTGGAGTCAAATTTCCTGCCAACGAATTATGGTACCAAGCTTTCATTTAATTATCTTTAATGGAGACAAGAATAGTACTCTCATCCCGTCACCACCATCAAGAGAGTAAACATATCCATTACCCCAAATTACTCTTCTGTTCTTTTGTAATCTCTCCTTCTTGACCCTGCCCATTTCCCCTCCCCGGAAGCAGCCAGTGACCTGCTGTCAGAGTCATGACACAAGGCTCAGTTGCTAAATGAAATCCCTCTTTCCACTTCAGGATCATGAAGCCAGATTCTCAGTTTAACACTTTACTTGCATCAAATGACACATCGTATCTACAAATCTCTCAAAGTTCTTCCTGAAAATTCTGCTCTTTTTCCTAAAGAAACAGAAGGTACTAGGAAGCAACGGTGACTATGGCTTAGGAGAACCATTGTCGGAGATTGAACCTACAGCAGACTTCCAGTGGGAATAGTGTGAGTGACTCAGGACTGCAAATCTCTTGGGGTTTTTATTACTTACACTTTTCCATCGTTTCTTTCCACCATGATCTTGGACGCTCCCACTCTGGGTAGAGTTGGGTTGATCACCTTGTTGTACCAAACAAATTTAACCTTCTGCAAGTCTCCAACGTCCACATCAGAGTCAAATTCATTGGAGTGAGTGCTGTCTGGCTGGAGAGTGCCCCTTGGGAGTTGAGAAGTTAATGAAAACATACATCAACATACAAATATATACATAAGTATTTTTAAAATGAGCTTACAATGTATCTCTAGTAAGATGATCGATGGTACATTCGCCATTCTAAGGTATTAAACGCAGACACATATGCCAACTCAGTGGTAAGTCATTTGCCAACAATAACTCATATTCCTTTAAAGTCATCCTTACTTTAATAAAACTTCAAATATGTTTTAGTCACAAACCTCCCACAACTTAATGAAGGATGACATCATCATGTCATCTTTTCCCGGTTGTTTTGTGGGCAGAAAAATTATTTACTGATTATAAATCAGATGCCATGCATCAAAGCAAACATCAGTGGTTTTCTCAGGAACTAGCAGAGAAAAAATTCAGAAACAGAATTCTGAAATGTATTAAGATATAAGATAAAATTATATCTTCCTTGGAATGATGTGTGGTGGTACTATACTCCCAAATATAATGAATAAATGTGTATGTTCATAACTGCATTATATGGGCAAAGGATTCCGACATTTAAGAAGTGTAGGATAATATTTTACTCACTTGAAAATTTCATACTGTTTAGAATTTCCTTTATTTCCAAACAAAGAAACTAGCACATGTCCCGTAACCTTCTTCCCAGACAATGTGACAGCCACCTTATACCTCCATCCTGCACAGGGGGAAAATATTTGCAAACTGTCAGTTTGTAGAGAAGATATGTTTAAAACAGGCTTACTTGGATGCCATTGCTGCTGAATTTTGGATAATTTATATATAGGATTGATTGTTCTTCCAATCAAATAATCTCCTTTACCTAAATGTTCAGAAGACACGTGTGAAGCCAATGCAGGAACACTGACTCTTTCCAAAGTCAGTAGATATCAAGTAGTATATGTAAGTCATATATTCTGTTTTCAGTTTCTTAACCTAACAATTTATTTTGAATATTATAAGAACTATATCTTAAAAGAAAGTAGGAAGGGGGCACCAGGGTGGCCCAGTCAGTTAAGCCTCCAACTCTTGGTTTCAGTTCAGGTCATGATCTCACAGTCATGAGAGATGTGTCTGTGTCTGGCTCTGAGCTCTGTGTGGAATCTGCTTGGGGATTGACTCTCTCTCTCTCTCTGTCTCTCTCCTTCTGCCTTTCCCCAGCTGGCGTACTCTCTCTCTCTCTAAAATAAAATAAATAAAATCCAAAAAGAGAAAAGATAAAAGAAAGTGGGAAGAGGGTAGAGTATGACATTTTCAGCAGTTTACTATTTTTTAAAGATTTTATTTATTTACTTGAGAGAGAGATAGCACAAGTTAGGGGAGGGACAGAGGGACAAGCAGACTCCCCACTGAGCAGGGAGCTCAATGTGGGGCTTGATCCCAGGACCCCGAGATCATGACCGGAGCCGAAGTCAAGTGCTTACCGGACTAAGCCACCCAGACACCCCTCAATTTACTATTTTCATAGGTCATCACATTTTAGAGTCCTATTTTTTTTTTGTCTACATTGTCTACATTTATTTTAAAAAATCTATTAATTCAGCTTTACCTTGCCATCAGAAAGTTATTAAGTTATGGTAACCATTTTGTGGTATTAGTCAATAGTTAACTAGCAGCTTATGCCAGTTAGAGCTAGCCTGGGCCAAATTGAGGAGGGAATAAAACTTGGCTTATTTTTTGCAGTGCAGCCAACACCACTGGCTCTAGTCTAAATAGTTTCTTCCTCTGCAACCTAGGAAGGAACATGTCTCACCATCCCTGTACCCACTAATTCCTATCACCCATGGAGCCTCCCACCCTAAATATCTCTTAAATCTGTCAGCTCCCTACCATTCCCACAATCTCTGGTATCTCTCTCCCGGATTACTTTTGTGCTTATACAGAACCTCAGAAGTTTGCTTCCATGAAATCTCTAACTGAATTGGAAGAGTCTGGAGCAAAAGAAACCTCCTGAATTTGGCACCAGAATAAAACACGAAGAAATTCCTTTTCCTATCATTGTTCATTCAGGCTCCCAAATTCTGCTCTTTTACTCCAATGAGCTAGAGTTACATTGAACACAAGAGCTTTTGAAAAGTTTTCCATGTTGGAAAGGAGCATTTACAACTTTTGTACTGAAGAACAGTTCCACGCATTTCACTGAACGTGGTAAAACATGGTAAAATAGCATTGTGAATTTAAGGCACATATAATACTTACGAGCAAAACTAATGGCATCACCAGTGTTTAGATAAAATATCTGGTTCACTCCATTTGTTTTTCCAGGAAATCTGTCAGCGTAATGACCCATCTGCGGGCAGCCTTCGCTTGGGCAGGGGAAGCACTTGTTCTAGGGGAAATTAACAAATGATGAATGAGGACACTCTTTCTTTTAACAGTGTGTCATCTTTTTCCACCTGTTGTTGCAGTTCAAATATTTGAAAGCCAATTCTGTCACGATGGCAAAAGACAACTTTCATAGTGTTTCAGCAAAGGTAGAAAATGCATTTCATTAGTTACGATGACAAATTTGACTGTTAAATAACATGACACTAACAAAAATGCAAAAATCATACAAAAAAGGGAATTTAAATATATACTTATACATATATTTTAATCTTTTCCTTTTTGCTTCTGTATGTTGCTCAAGACATCCATTTTCCTACATATAGTTAGATTTTATTTTAGAAAGATTGCAAAAGAAAGAGCAAGGGGTGATCATCAGCTCCGATATGCAAAATAGTACCCATTAGGAGTCAGGTTTTTCTCACATTTTTCAGTTCCCACTTTAGCATATTAAGGTCTGAAGGATTCAGACCTCACAATTTTCCCAGTGTGAACAGAAAATGCCCCAGTTGGCCTTAAGTACTTGCTATGAGGTTGGGGTGTGGAGAATACACATATCACTTAGGAAAATGTCCTCTTTCTGGGCCAGGAGTTATGGGAAGAAGAGAGGAAGAGGGAAAAACAGAGTGGGAAGGACAAACATCACAACTTTTTCTATGGAAAGGTAATCCTACTCCACAGTAGAGGCGCAGACTCTTGGATCAATGAACCAGATGGGGACTGGACCAAGTCTCAGGGTCTGCATCTGACAAAAGTTAAGGAGAGACTGAGCCGGTCAGGAAGAAATGGCCAGAGCTCTACGGGGAAGTTGGCCAAGCCAGAAGAGTTGATGTTCCTAGACATTATCTGCAGACACCAGCAGCACATCCATCAATAATGCAGACCCCCAGGTCCTCCCCTCTGCCCTACACACATACTGGCCACCAGCACCATAACCACTGTGCCCAATACCAGCTTGGAGAGAAGATGATGAAAGGGTCCAAAGGCTGAGAAATATGCAAAACTGAGAACTTTTCCTTATAAAAGTGTCTGAACATCACCTAAAAAAACCTGTTTATATTACTGAACTCAGACTAAATTTTAACTGAATAAAACCTAAAGCTTCTTTGTTAATTTTCCCCATTATCTAGAGATTGGGGAACACGATAAAAATAAAGTTAAACCAAAGAAAGGGGATGGTGATCTTGTTTGTGCACAGCTCTACTATGTATCCTCCCAACACACATAGAGCCAACAGGTGCTGAATGCCAATTATGGTATTTTAGATTCTGAGCTAAGGAACTAAAACATATCTCATTAAATGCTCCCACAAAACCAATGGAGTTTACCGTTATTATTTACATTTAGAAATGAAAAAACTGCCTTAGAGAGAGGTTAAATATTTTGTCCAAATCATTCAACCAATTAATGGTGAAACCAGCTTTCAGGTCCTTTCTCTTTGGCACTAAGTTATACATCTTGATAATTATGACTTCACCTGGTGTGTTATTTAAAATTTTCTTTATTAAATGATATAGGTTGTATATTTTTATTGTGAAAAATTATAATGAAAGGAAGAACAATAAAAATTAACAGGCAACAGATACATCATTTTCAAGATCACATGTAAGGATCCTAATCCAGATACCTAGCGAATACCAAACAAGATGAAAACTCAAAAGCAAGCAAGCAAACAAACAAAAACTTGGCAATTATGAGGTTGCACAGAAATATCCACAAGCACATAATGATATAGTTTTATAGAGTCAGCATTTAAGACAAGTTTTCCATATTTATCAGCATCCTGTAGCCATAGCTCAGATGTCCATAGACTTTTTTTAGTTATAATTATTTCTAAAACCAGTTTGAACTTTTGCCTGATACACACTGAAGGGATAGAGAACAAGTTAGATACGGAACATCTCAGTACACAAGCCCATTTTTCTAAAGTTCTCCAATGTCTCATCACTATTATGATAAATACATATGTCAACTATATTTCATTAAAAAATAAAAATATATAGAGGCACCTGAGTGGCTCAGTGGGTTAGACCTCTGCTTTTGGCTCAGGTCATGATCTCAGGGTCCTGGGATCAAGCCCCACATGGGGCTCTCTGCTCAGCAGGGAGCCTGCTTTCCTCCTCTCTCTGCCTGCCTCTCTACCTACTTGTGATCTCTCTTTCTGTAAAATAAATAAATAAATTATATATATACATATATATATATATATAATTAAAAGTATAATGTGGCAATCATATAGTGACATTCACTGAATGCATGTCACATACAGTGAACTACACCCATTATGAGAAGTGATGGTCACAAAATTCTTTAGGTACAAGGCAGCTTCTACTTACTGCAATGAAAACGCTGTAAGAGGCACACGGGAATCCAGCAAAGCCATCAGGGTTGAGGATGCTATCAGAGTAATATTTGTAGCTTCTTAAGTGATTACAGGCCACAAAGTCACGAGTTCCTTTGAAATCAGACAGTACACATTAATAGCAGATTTTATTTTGTCAAGTTAATGTCACAACTAGAACATGGTGGTTGAATAGAATTTTCTAATTCGTGGGAGCTCATGGTGGTCATGGAACAAAATCATCTATGAAGTGTATTTGTGATTTGTGATGCAATTAGAAATTAAATGTCATTTAAGATTTTAATAGCAATGCCATAGCTAAATGAAATAGAAAAATAACTTCAGGACCAAGAAATTCGTCATCTGAAAAAGGAAGAAATTCATCCATATGGATAGAAGGACAACTTACTAAAGCATTCCCTGAATTAGGAAATTCTGAATTGGAAAGTTGACTACAAATACATTGTCTTTCTACAGTCTCCTCCTGCCCACTTTCCCCAGTGAAAAGCCTATATTTTGGATTAAAAGTCCTTTGTTGTAGAAAAGATGAGACCTGTACCAAAATATTTAACAAGTTTAGTAAAAAGTGAAACACAAATTTTGCCCTAAGAAAATCTCTTCATGCACATAATGGTTTTACCTTCCCAGATCCCATCTATGTCAACAATCTGAGAGAGAATGTTCTTCTGACATCCGGGCATTTCTTTTCCTCCATTTGGAAAGAAATCTAGGTGGCCTACAGTTTGACTCATTCCGAAACCTAAGGAATATTAAAATATGAGAAAGTTGATGTTGATGTATAGACTCAGACACTTTAGAACACTCTAATATGTGGACCCAGAAACACTTGCAGATGACTTGACTCACCTATGTTGGGGATTATAGGGGCAGCATCTGTGTGAATTACATCCACAAACTGGGCATCACTGGGGTCTAATCGGACTAATTCAGGCGTGCCCTCAAAGCACGGTTCAGCTGGGTCCAACCCTAAGGTAAATAGAATGTGTCGTGTTAATATCAGTGTACACCCACATTGAGCTTTCTTCATTAATTACCCACTCAAGTGCAAGCATTGGCGGGAGCCATGACTTGGGCCTGGAATGAGATAAGCTAGTTCTTCCTGACCTTATCATTTTCTTACACTTTCTGTGTCTAATTTTCTATTTGCATTATAGTGAATTTTCCTCAAACCATGGAATTTGGCTCTACTTATGGATGCTTAGTCCCTGGGCCAATCCCAGCTACTAAGAGCAGTTACAAGGAAAGAGACAGATTCTGGGAGACTCCTAAAAGCTGGTCAGGATAAAGGAGTTCCCATTCTACTGCAAAATCCTGTGAGGCAAGACTTTGGTATTCATGGTCACCAAGACCACAGCTTCGCAGAGGGCCTGGCTGAGCAGGCTCTTGTAAACATTTACGGATTATGAGAAAGAATGTTGTCTCCAGCAAACTAATGATAGACATCTAGATGCCCCCACCAATCCAAATGTGACCAGTTTATCCAAAATCAAAAAGAGTCAGAAGGTCAGAGACAGAGTGGGATGATGGAAGAGGAAAGTGGGTGCTTCCTGAAGTGGTCCCCTCACAGATCCAGGATAGCAAAGTCTTTCCTATAAGGTTGCAAGGTTGTTTTAGGGTCTGGGTATGTACCATGTGATCCCACTGGCCAAGTGCAACCAGTCTGAGATTTGTGAAATACTATTTTTTATCTAATGAGAGCATGCAGAATTGGTTAGCCCATCCTGATCACCTGTTCCCTGCCACTCTTGGCTTGTGTTCAATGAGGACTGGGATAATTATCAATTGCTACTGAAGCAGAATATAATTAATTATGCATTTTTGAGCTTCTTGGGTTTAATTCTCTTTGTTATTTATTCTATTATTTATGCTATTTATTCTATTTATGAAACTTGTCCTTTGTGAATGCCTGACAATAGAAAAATAGACCTCCCGATGTTCTTAATTAAAATTTTAGTCATATACTATATATATATATATTTTTTAAATAAAGCTCTGTAGGCCAAAGATCAATATCAACAAAAAATTCACAAGGCCTCAGAACAGACTGATTTCTGATCGTGTGGACCAATTCAGAAAACGCCAAATTTCCATCCGTTTGGACCTCATATAGGCTACACTGAGTCCAATTTTTCAGTATTTACTGTTTTGACCAACCTGTGATTCGTCCAACAGTCCCGTTGGTCCTCCTTCCGGCTTCTCCAGCTGCGTGCGAGCCTAGGCTGTGGCCAATGATGTGGACATTGGAAGGTGAGTACCCAAACGCTGACTGTTGGAAAGAAAATCTCTTCAGAATATTTCCTAATACTGCAAACTTCAAGATGGCCACAGAAGGAGATCCTTGCAAAACATGAAAACATGCCACCCCTTCAAAGCAACTGATTTTCATGACTTTTTTTCAGTTGTCATAGAAAATGGCAATGGTCTAATGTTTAAGCTGGTGGAATCTGGGCTCTCTTTTGTTGTTTTACTATGTAGAGGAACCCTTGCTGGGTACGAGGAATTGTTACCCAGAAGTGGTAAAGCAAATATATGGGTTAGCAAATAATAAAGCAATTACTTGAGGAGATTCCTGTTTAACATTTTTTTAAGGTTTTAGTTACCAAAGCAGATTAGTTTGGTGTCATTGTGCTCTGTTAAAAAAATTAAAAATATAACCAAAACCAAGGTAGTTTCATCTTGAAGTTGACATTATCACACCTACTTGGTTTAATAAACGGTAAAATGAAAGGAATACTGATGGAATTCAGTAGCAGCAACCTAGCCAATTGCTTGAGTAACATCACTTAAAAAAAAAAACAACTAGTTTTCTTTTTATTTTAAGAGGAATATTGATGAAGCCCAAATCTAGATTGGTTGATGATTGATTTTGCATTTTTCTTTTCAACCACAGGCAAAGTCAAATCTTAATAGAGGAATGTCTTTAGTAATTATCATGCCTACAGCAATTTTTTTTTTAATTTTTACAGAGAATCTGGAGAGCAATGTGCATGGACTTTTATACAACCTAGAGGGAGTTACCTGAAGAACTTCAACAAAATAAGCCACTTCTGCCCCCACAATCCGGATGTTCTGGGAGGCCTGCGTGTAACCAGTGCGGGAGCCACTTTTCCAGTCCACACAGATGCAGTTCACACTTTCCACTTTGAACAGGTTCTGATGGAACAGACACAATGAATAGGTAAAGAATTCAGGATATTTATAAATTAATAATTAACACATTTGAGAATGAGGGTAAATTTCCTCTATGACTTATATATCATCAAGCTTATTTTTAACCCCACAACAATGAACAAAACTATGGATATGAAATTCTTTTTGAAGTTTAACATTGGCTCCAAATTGAGGGTCTGGCCATAGCAGGAACTGGTTATCTTAGGCTATCTACAGATGCATAGACATTTGTTGCAGGGAGAGATGTATAAAATGGGGTACAGTGGATTGTCTCATCAGAGCATCATAAATGTCATAAGCCTATGTTGTCCTTACTAGAATGCATCCCAGGACATTGTCCCTTACTAGAAGGCATCCCAGGAATGTTTTGTTCACTGTTGTATCCTCAGTGCCTCAAATAGTTCCTGGCACATAGTAGGTGTTCAATAAATATTTACTGGATGAATGAATAAATGAAAGGCTATGTTAGGGCTCCCTTAAATAAATATACTGAACATAAATGGGTAAGCTTTTCCATGATGGAAAGAACAATCAAAGTTTTTGGATGAAAATATTTTATTTTATATTACTGATGAATTACTTCACATAAAAGCATAACCCACTAGATATATACTGGAAGCTTTGTTGATGCAGGTCAATGATAGTTTCATGAATATTAGATCTGGGAGGAATTTTGTTTGTTTGGGTATGTGTATGGTTATACATATCCCCACCTTTTCCCCAAGACCTTCAGGAGGATGAAGCAATCTTAGAAATCACCTCCAATTCTTTTATTTTATAGATAGAAATCTCCAAAGAGGGAAAATGATTTGCTAATGTCATGGTTGGCTAAGGATAGAGTTAGAACTAGAGTCTAAGACCTTTGACCTTCTAGGGTAATCCATTTTTGGGTTTTGTTTTTTTTTTTTTTTTGGTTTGTTTGTTTGTTTGTTTTTACCACAAAGAAACCATGTAGTTGCTCACAACCTGTGAAGACTGTGTACACATATCTAAAAAATTTTAGATACATATATCTAAAAAAATTTACATTCCCTTTGAGCTAAGAATCCCTTTGTCTTTTTCCTTCATTGTATAAAAATCGATTTCTACCCTCCCCCTAACAATCATTGGCTTAAATTATTTTAGAAGACAAATTAGGGTTTTGCTGATTATTTTTACACTTGTGAAGTGAAGCCTGTTTATTTTGTCTGTCTCCAGGATCGGCGGATAGTCTCTAGAGTTGACTCAATCCAGCCTTTGGCTCAAGTCATAGACAGGTCTGAAATTAATAGTGTTTAGGATGATCGTTGTGTCTTGTTTTTTGGACCTCAGAAGAAATGACTGCACCTGTGCTCCATGCTGGCCATTAATGCTTGTTGAATAGATGAATCAAAGATAATGTTCCTCAAGCCCTGGCAGTTGCTAGGAAAAATATGTTCTATTTGATTTTCTATCTTTTAGTTCTTCATTATCCTGGGGCACACGGCCAAAGGCAAATTAAAGAAAATTGGATCACTCTGGTTGAAAAAACAGAAGCTGAAAATGAAAACCTACACAGTTTTCCCAGATATTGCTACCACCGGGGATCAAAGAGTAGCAAGTGAAAATCAAAGGAAAACAATTAGTTTGGGCAAAATAAGTTATCTTAGTTCTTCATATAGAAATGAAAACCTACTGAAAAAATTAAAGTTATTGAAAACACAACTAATATTGCATCAGTAGGGCAACATCTGTTGCTAAAGTTTTGAAATATCTCTGTATTAGTTATTAAATAACCACTACCTAGAGCCACCAAATGCTTGCCAACCTGGCTGCCCTGACTGTCCCTGGTCCCCTCTACACCCTACCACCCCTCGGGCCTCCCCTTGAAACCCCAGGAGAGTCCGATGATTCCCTGATGCCATGGTGGCTGGTATTTGTCCTGATCGGTTGCAACCTGTGCCTTCCCCATTGTTAATCACCATTCTGGGAACAACCTTCCCTTAATTGATTATCATGCCTCACCTTGCACAAATTGGACAACCAGTTTTCTTCTCCCTTGTCTATGAATCCATGAATAATAAAGCGGGTTTTTCTATCTGTTTTGAAGTTGGAGTCTGTGATGGTTGATGGGTCTGCAGCAAGTTCCTATTTGGGGAAGAAAAGTGTTTAATGTTCAGTTTTTTATATGTCCAACAGAACCATTTGTACATGGAGGAAGGCAGCAGGTAGGAGAACACCATCAAGACTTGAGATCCTTGTGAGTAAGGATTCTCCTATTACAGGCAGGTTATTTGCAATCATCAAGTTCCAGACATCATAACATTTTTGCAGTTGTTCTACTCAGAATAAATGTCGGCTATAATATTGATGTAGGGGTTTTGTTTCCAAACAACAGAAGGCTTTGTGTGTGTGTATGTGTGTGTACAATTTTATACACACATACACACACATATATAATGCTGGGATATTATATATAATATTGGGAGAGTTTATATATATGTATACATATATTATATATAACTATATTCAGAGTGTTTATTACATGGCGACATGGAGGTAGGATAAAAATGATATCAAGTTCCAGTCAAGACAAAGGGTGGTTGAGTGGATTAAAAAAACAAGACCAATCTATAGGCTGTCTACTGGATCATTTTAGATCATTTCAGATCTAAAGACTAAAAATGAGGGGATGAAAAAAGGTATTCTAAGTAAATGGAAACAAAAAGAAAGCTGGAGTAGCAATACTTATATCAAACAAAATAGACTTTAAAACAAAGGCTATAATAAGAAACAAAGAAGGAATTTATGTAAAGATAAAGGGATTTATCCAATATGAAGATATAACACTTGTAAAAATTTCTGCACTCAACATAGAAACACCTAATTATATAAAGCAAATACTAATGGACGCAAAGGGAGAAATTGATAGTAATACAATAATAGCAGGGGGATTTAACACTGTGTTTACATCAATGTATAGATCTCCCAACAGAAAAGCAATAAAGAAAAAGTGATTTTAAATGACACCTTAGAACAGATGGACTAACATATATTCACAGAACATTCTATCCCCAAACAGCAGAATATATACATTCTTCTCAAGTACATGTGGACATTCTCCAGAATAAGTCAAATGTTAGGCCACAAAACAAGCTTCAATAGATTTAAGAAGATTGAAATCATATCAAACATATTTTATGATAACACTGGCATGAAACTAGAAATCAACTATAAGAAGAAAAGTGGAAAAAAAATACAAACAGGTGGAGACTAAACTACATGCTATTAAACAATCAATGGGTCAAGGAAGAAATCGAAGATCTAGTTAAATCAATATCTTGAGATAAATAAAAATGTAAATGCAATATTTTCAAAAATCTATGGGACACGGCAAAAGCAGTTAGTTCTAAGAGGGAAGTTTACAGTGATACAGGCCCACATCAAGAAATAAGAAAAGGCTCAAATAAACAATCTAACCTCATACCTAAAGGAACTAAAAAAAGAAGAACAAATAAAACCCAAAATTAATAGAAGGAAGGAAATAATAAATATCAGAGGGGAAATAAATGCAATAGAGACTTAAAGAAAACTATAGAAAAGATCAATAAAACTAAGAACTATTTCTCTGAAGTGTAAACAAAATTGATGAACCTTTAGCCAGACTCATTAAGAAAAAAAACAGAGAGGGCCAATAAATAAAATGAAAAGTGAAAAAGAAGTTGCAGCTTATACCACAGAAATGCAAAGGATTATAGTAGACTACTACTAACTGTGATATGACAACAAGTTGGACAACCTAGAAAAAAATGGACAAAGTCCTAGAAATAAACGATCTTTCAAGACTAAATCAGAAAGAAATATAAAATCTGAACAGACCGATTACTAGTAAGGAGATCGAATCAGTAATTATACTCTCAGCAAATAAAAGTCCAGGACTAGACTGAGTCGCAGGTGAATTATACCAAACATTTAAAGAAAACTTAAAACCTATCTTTCTCAAACAATTCCAAAATACTAAAGAGGAAAGAATGAATGTTTCTAAACTCATTCTACAGGGTTAGCATTAATCTAATACCAAAACCAGACAAACACTATAAAACAAACAAACAAACAAACAAACTCAGACCAATATTCCTGATAAACATAGATGTAAACATCTTCAACAAAATAGCAGCAAACTGAATTCAAAAATACATTAAAAGGATCATTTATCATGATCAGGTGGGATTTATTTCAGTGATGCAAGGATGGCTCAATATCCACATATCAACTAATGTGATACAGCACATTGACAAAACAAAGAATAAAAATCATACGATCATCTCAATGGATACAGAAAAAGTATTTGACAAAATTCAACATTCATTTATGATAAAACCTCAATAAATTGGGCACAGAAGATATATAACCCAACAAATAAAAGACATATATGACAAACCCACAGTTAACAGCATACTCAATAGTGAAAGCTGAAGGCTTTTCTTTTTCTAGAATCAGGAACAAAATAAGGATGCCCACTCTTGCCACTTTTATTCAGCATAGTATTGTAAATCCTAGCCTCAGCAGTTGGGCAAGAAAAAGAAATAAAATCATCCAAACTGGAAAAGAAGAAGTAAAGCTGTCAGGATTTGCAGATGACAGGATACTATATATCAAAAACCCTAAAGCCTCCACCAAGAAACTATTAGAACTAAAAAATGAATTCAATAAGTTGCAGGATACAAAATCAATATACAGAAATTTGTTGCATTTCTATACATAATAATGAAATATGAGAAAGAGACATTAAGAGAACAATCTCATTCATAATTGCATCAAAAAGAATAAAATACCTAGGAATAAATTTAACCAAGGAAGTGAAAGACCTATCTTCTGGAAACTATGACACTGATGAAAGAAAGTGAAGGCAACACAAATAAATGAAAAGATTACCTTGCTCATTGACTAGAAGAATTAATATTAAAATGTTCATGCTACCCAAAGCAGTTCAATGCCACACAAATTCAATGCAATCCCTATAAAAACATCAATGACACTTTTCATAGAACTAGAACAATAATCCTAAAATTTATATGGAACCACCAAAGACCCTGAGTAGCCAAAACAATCTTGAAAAAGAAAAACAAAACTCTCAATTTTAAACAATACTACAAAGCTATAGTAATCAAAACAATAAAGTACAGGCAAAAATACAGAAACATAAATCAATGGAACAAAATAGCCCAGAAATAACCCCGTACTTATATGGTTAACTAGTGTACAACAAGGGAGGCAAGAATATACAGTGGGACAAAGATAGGCTCTTCAATAAATGGTGTTGGACAGACACAAACAAAAGAATGAAACTGGAACCCACTCTTGCACCATATAAAAAAATAAGCTCAAAACAGAGTAAAGACAAAATGTAAGACCTGAAACCATAGAATTCCTAGAAGAAAACATAGGCTGTAATTTCTTTGACATTGGCCTTAGCAATATTTTTTGCTTAGCGATATTTTTAGACAAGAACAACAAAAGAAAAGGTAAACAAATGGGACTACATAAAACGAAAAAGCCTTTGTACAGCAAAAGAAACCATCAACAAAAATGAAAGACAATCTACTGAATGGCAGAAGATATATGCCAATGTTATATTTATTAAGGGGTTAACACCCAAGTTATATAAAGAACACATACAACTCAATATCAGAAAAAAATAGTCGGATAAAATAGTGAGTGGAGAATCTAGATAGACGTTTTTCCAAAAAAGATATACAGATACCAAAAGGCACATGAAAAGATGCTCAACATCACTCATCACCAGGGAAATGCAAATCAAAACCATAGTAAGATATCACCTCACACCTGTCAGAATGGCTGTTATTAAAAAGACAAGAATTAACAAGTGTTGGTGAGCATGTGGAAAAGGGGAACCCTCATGCACTGTTGGTGGGAATGTAAACTGGTGCAGTCACCAATAAAAAATGGAACGGATGTTCCTCAAAAAATTAAAAATAGAACTACCATATGATCCAGCAATTCCACTTCTAGGTTTTTATCTGAAAAAAATGAAAACACTAATTTGAATAGAAATTTGCACCCCTATGTTCACTGCAGTATTATTTACAATAACCAAGATAAGCAGGCAACCTAAATGTTCACTGATAGATGAATGAATAAAGAAGATATATAATATATGTTATTATATATAACATATAATATTATATAGCAATATTACTCAACCATAAAAAGAATGAAATCTTGCCATTCATGACAACGTGGATGGACTTAGAGAGTATTATGCTAAATGAAATAAGTTAGATAGGACAAGTACCATATGATTCTACTTATATATGAATCTAAAAAACCAAAACAAATGAATAAGCAAACAAGACTCATAGACACAGGGAGTAAATTGAAATGGTAGTCAGCAGGGATGGAGGTGGGGGGATGGATGAACTAGGTGAAGGGGATTAAGAGGTACAACCTTCCGGTTGTAAAATAAATAAGACAAGAGGATTTATGTACACCATAGAGAATATAGCCAAAAATATTGAAACAACTTTGTATGGTGACATGGTAACTAGACTTATTATGGTGATCATTTCATAATGGTTTTATATAACGAATCTCTACGTTGTACACCTGAAACTAATACCATATTGCATATCAATCATTCTTTAATAGAAAATAAAGTGAATCTAAATTAAAACAAAAAGAGAATAATTAAGTTAATCCATTAATCAAGTTAATGACCTTTTATAAAGTTACGTAAAATAATACTTAACCTCACTGCCCCAAAAGTCTACAAAGATGCAAATTCCACTAATCTGTTCTCTTTGGAAAACTTAAAAATTTAGTAATCTTATTACATAAAATGGATAGGACTTAGTTCTGAAAATAGTGAGTTCTCTTACTTGAAAGTTATTCTGGTTCTCATTAGTATATAGGAGGAAGCGAGTATTGACATCTTTTGGAGCCCAAGGCAGTATTTTGAGGGGTCTTTCCACAATTCCTGCCCATGGGGCGTCATCACTAAAGCAGCCAAGTCTTGGGAAGCAGACTTCTTTTCCTGTAATCACCCAGAAGCATTTCAAGGATGTTAGTTTAATCAGAATTCTCTTTTTTTAATGGTCTTTCTGCCAAAATATGAGTTAAATTACATTTTGTGGGCTCTTTGCTTCCTTTGCATCCCCAGACATCTTCCTATCAATGTACTCACAAAACAGCTTCAGCATCCCAGCTAAAGATAGGCTTCTGTCCCTCATTTTTACAATGTACAACCACCCGACTCTCCTCGCATCTCTGTCCAGTCCCGTGCTGGGACCCAGTTTTGCTTCTCAATGTGGATGTCTTCCTTGGGCCACCGGTGCCCAAGGAAAAAGCAACCTTGTGTCTCCAAGCCTTTATAGAGAGGGGTGAGGTTTTCAGTTCTTTACAGAACATCTTCTCATGTTGGGCTTTGGGTAGAAAGCTTAAGTTTCAAGCAAATGCCAAAACTTTATATCTCTACCTCGCTGAGAATTTAGGTCTCTGACCTATGTTTGACAAGCATTCTGGATTCCCATGATGAAGAAGCGGCTCGTGAAAAATCAAGCAGAAAGTCTATGGTTTGACACAACTCTATGCTTGGATGTTAACTCATACAAGAACAACACAAAGGAAGGGATATCCGGGAGGATAAAGTATAGATTAATAGTAGGCGTAGGAGCAGTAGTTGTTGTGGGGGTGACATTCTCAAAATGTCACTACGTGCCAGGGGCCAGGTAAGACAATTTACAGGACTTATGTAAGTCTCACAATTATCCTGTGTTAGCATAGGTATTATACGCCCATTTCACAGATGAGGATAGTGAAGCACAGAGAGGGTAAGAATTTTGCTCAGGTTAATACACCTGTGGCGGGTAGAAACGGCTCAACTTCCACCCTTGATTCCAAGCCAGGGTTGCTAGATTACCAAATGAAAATAAAAGTCACATGTGAGTTTCAGATACACAATGAATACATTTTAGTATAACTTTGTGTCACATATTCATTGATTATCTGAAATATTTATCTGAAGTTCAGATTTAGTTATCTTAGATTTTATCTAGCAACCCTACTCCAAGAGCTTGTACTCTTAATCATGTATCTTTTTTGTTCTACTCCTTATGCCATAGTGACTTGAGTTCAGGCATCATAAATTTTCTGGAAAGTGTGAAGCAGGAAGTCACTTACAGCACTACATAAATATCTTTTCTTACCTACGACTGCTCCCAGCAGCAGTGATAGGGTCCAGATTAGCAGCATCTAAAAAAAGTAAAAAATACGATTGAGTGTGGCTAAATAAGTTTTTAAAACATTAGCATAATTCAAGTTCAGTTAGAGCTCTGAAGGAAAATCGGTAAATTCTAGTAAATGAGGCTTGGGAAGCACGTTCCTGACTCACCCTGGCAGTTCCATCAGGTTCCACACACAACCAGATAGCGCCTTGCAGATCCTTTTATAAGCAAACCTTATCAGTTTGAGAAGTTCCATGGAAAAGTGGCATGAAAACAGACGACGTTCCAAGTGTGCATTTATAATTTTAATCATAAATAAACCAAGATTGATAGAGTAGGTCAAGTTTCCTTGTGGGAAGATGAGAAAAGGGTTCATACAGACTGTTCTCTTCCAATGAGATTACATAATGCTCAGAATCACCGTAATTTCATTGTAGCGAAGGATTCTAGTCTGCCGCCTCCCCCACCTTTTTTTAATTTTACGTTCACAGTTCTCTGTGCTGCTGTGTGCATATGTGTGAAACTGAATTGTTTTCACAGATTTGATAACAGCAGTCTTGAAAACAAATACTAAAATCTTACCAGCTTCAGCAGTTTTCGCATAACCTTGCCTTACCCTCAAAAGCATGAAATTAGAAGCCATTCTTCAAGAGGGCTCATTCCTTTTAGGAAAGTTGTCGTTATTTTAGTTTGATAGCCTACAGAACTAGCTTATTTCTCAATAATAACATGGAGAAAAGAATAAATGAACTGACAAAAGGAGTTGGGGGTCCTTCCAAGAGCCAAGAGGTGGAAATGGTGACCTCACCATCAAATAAGATTAAGAATAGGAGAGAAAAATAAAATTCAACCTGGAAAAAAATCGTCTGGGGAAAATACTCTGAAAGAGAAGCATTTGATAGAGGAGAACTGAAATGTTTTCAGTTGGTGATAGATTGCTTAAAATAAATTTTTAAAATACTGTAATGGGATACCATAATTTTAAGAGATTGGAGCCATTCAGCTTGATAGTGTCACAGATATAAGTTGAATCCTATGAAATTGCCATATTTGCCGGTCAAAAATGGTCAAGGAATAATTCAGTTCCTTGACAAACTTTATAGGTACAGGAAAAAAAGCAATGAAATTATTCGTGTATAAGGAGAAAGTTCAAAATAGTTGGGCAAGGACAGAAGGACAAAAAAAATCAGAACAGAAGACACCAGGAAGGGATTCCATGGATGGGAGTCAAGCCAATCCCCACGGAGTCCTTCTTGTCTCAGCATTTGATCTCTTCCTTAGGGACTCTTGTCTAACCCTGATTAAGCTGGTTTCCCTCTCTCCTCGGAGCACACCTCTCTTTTGAACTTTCTTCATTTGCCACCCATCATGATCAGTTGTGGGCCAAAAACTTTGAGAAGGGTGGAATTCTCTGGGCCTTGTTGTCCCTCCTTAGCGTGGAGCCCACCTGATACATCGCAGGCCCTTATACTTGATCTTAGCCAAAAGGCTGAGAAGCAATCATAGCAGGTCCTTAACACATGTCTGTGGGATGAGTGAACAAGTGAGGAAACGGATACAAAAAGCAATTTAGTTTGCATAATTGCTCCAAAACAATTATCTACACAGTCTCTTAGTAAATTATAACTTTCTTCTTTTTTCAAGATTTTATTTATTTATTTGACAGAGAGAGAGAGAGAGAGCAAGTGCACAAGCAGGAGGAGTGGCAGACAGAGGGAGAGGGAGAAGCAGACTCCCTGCTGAGCAGGAGCCCGACATGGGGCTCGATCCCAGGACCCCAGGATCCCAACCTAAGCCAAAGGCAGACACTCAACGACTGAACCACCCATGCACCCCTATAATTTTCTGAACCTCTTTTAACTCAGAACAAGCAAGTAAACAAATGAAAAAAAAAAAAAAGAGAGAGAGAGAGAGAGTGAGCCAAACTCTGGATTTCACTCTGAAGTAAACTACATTCTTGGTGAATTACCAAATTCACACCAAATTTTCAGGTGGGAAATTTTAGACAGTACAAAACGTAATCCATAATTTGGGCCGTCTTTATTCAATATAGGCTATAGATTTAGGAATAACAGTCACCAAATTCTGAAAGTGAGACTAGCTAGAGTTCATAGGGGAATTATTTTTTTAAAAACTGAAATAGATTGATATTTTAGAATGTTTGGGGAAGATTTAATTTCCCAAACTGTTATACAAGTTAAGAAGGGAATTGTATATAATCAGCAGCCTATCATGCCGGCTCTTCCCTTAAATTCAATCTGGCTTAACTCTTGAACTGGGTTGTAAAATTTTATGAGCCATATTGCTTCCTTGAGATCACACACATGTGATCTAGAAACGTCTGGAGTATGTGGCAGAGATTGTTGGCCTCTTCCTACAGAGGACAGCATTAGGCTCTATTACCCTATCTTCTTTGCAGGAAGATGGGCCACAGAATCAACTTCTGGACAATGAGACGCGAGTGCACAGATATGCCCCAGTTTCAGTCCTGTTCACGTAAACCCACACGGGATCCTCCATGCGCTTTTACTTTCCATGGCTTGAAGTACACAAAGACAGTGAACTTGAAGGCCAAGTGTGAAAGCTGGTGAGCCACAGGATGGAAGGAGTTTGGTTTTCCTGCTTAGAGGAAAGCCACCCATAAACCACAAACATCCATTTTAAAATCTACATGAGCAAGAAATAAGTTCCCATTGTTTTAAGCCACTGATATTTCAGAGTTATAACAACTACCATTAACTTAACCAATATAGATTATGTTGTTGTACAATGATTTCTCCTACTTTCAATAACGTTCAGGTAGAAAACATTGAATCCTTGGCTGTACCTTTTACCATGAGATTTGGACGGTATACATGCATAATATTAATACTTTGACAGATTATTTTTTCTCATTTTTTATTTAAAAAAAACCTTTCCTGCTAGTTCTTAATTTATAAAAAGTAATTGCTAACTTCTTCACTCTGTTTTTGTAGAATTTAAATTCTAATGGACATTTTTCAATTTAGTCTTTGATGGTGACCATTGTTTTGCAAGCAACCCGAAGCCTCATAATATCCCAAGGTTTTGTGAAAATTCATCCAATATTGCCTGGGCTCTGAGATACAACTTAAGTGTAGTTGGAGTTACATTGTGCTGAATACATTGGAAATTCTCAAGTCCTGCAGGGTGGGTGGGTTGGAACTATTTCCCAAGCTCTGCTTTCCATCGGCCTTTGTTATTCCTTGTGTCTCAGGGTTGTGGGCTCTGAAGTGGGCCCTGTAAAGGATGGTAGAGATTTGGCATTCCTTCCCCAGGTATCCCATGCCATTGAAAGTGGACTCTCAGAAAAATAATCTCATGTATCCTGAACTCAACAGCACATTACCTGACATTGACTCAACGTTGACTCTCAAACCCTGGACATTTAAAAATAAAAATGTAAAACTTGGAAGTTTCTAATCCAGGAGCAATGTTTGCTGGGGAAGTAAATATTGACATACGCTTTGGCTCTGAGTCTGAAAACCTTGTGATAGCCAACTCAACGGAGGGAAAGAAAAGCTTTGGGACATCTGTGTGGCCAGATAGTCCGCATGTTAGCCGAACAGGGTCTCATTTACTTAACCTTCAGAGAGCCTGTCCTAATCCTTCCTTATCCAGTTCAGCCTACTGCCAGGGCCGTCAATGGGAGAGAGAACTGCTCACCTGAGGAGGCCAGACTGCTCTGAGCAGAAGAATGTCTCACACCATCCAGAGCAAGAGTCTTGCCAAGTGCGAAGACCCAAGGGAGTGAAGTTATAGTGAACCCTGCATTTTGCATGACAATGGTTTACTTTGTGGCATAGAATAGCAAGCAAACCTACAGTTTTATGGCATTAGTTATTTAGTTTTGCATACTTTTAAAGTTTTTTCCTTTAATATCCCACAGAACCTGTGGACGCTTTAGCTCTTTTTCTTATGAAAGTAGTGAGACTCAAGAGAGTTTAAGCAAAGGGTCACACAGTTGGTAATGAGCAGATCTAAGTCTGGAGGGACGGATTCTTTCTACCAGCTCCAGATTAGTTGTTTGTGTGAAGCCACAGAAGGCCAAATTCTCCCAGGTTGTGTTAGTCTAGAGTTGATCCAAAAAAATGTTCAGGAATGGATAACAGCAGGAGGTGTTAATATGTATATATATATATATATATATATATATATATACACACACACACACACACACACACACACACAGTGCATAAGACTGGTTATCTGCATTCCAAAACAAAGTCACTCACATATATTTTGGAAAACTTATTTTATTTGTACTTTGCATCCATACTACTAATGCAGCAAGTGGCGACTTTTTCAAATAGAGATACAACTTCTGTAACATCGCATATGATAATCAATTCTTTCATGGGTCAGCACAAGAGTCTTCTCATTGTTTTCTTTGCCCTCAGACTGTCCCATCTTCTGTCTCTCTTCTACACCCTGCTTGATAGTCAAGTTTCAAATGCAGACTGGCCATGCTACTGTCCTTCTTAAAACCCCACTCCCCTTCCCCTGCTCTGTGCTTTCAGGTCAGTGCTGCCCTGTAGGAATATATTGTAAGCTACATTAAAAGAAAAAAAAAAAGAAAGAAAGAAAGAAAGAAAAAGAAATAAATATATTTTAATAATTTATTTAACTAAAATCCCCCCAATATTATCATTTCAACATGTGGCAGTAGCCACAATTCAAGTGATCAGTGGTCACATGTGGCTAGTACCTATCATATTGGATAACACAATTCTGGATCATATTTACTCTTAACCTCACAAAATAAGACTTTAAAGATCTGGTTAGCTTCTCTGAGGTTTATAACCTTATTGCAAACACATTTGGCCCATTTTCCAGCTACTCTAAACTCCTTTTACGATATAAAATCTCAAGAACTTTGAATGGAATCCAATTATAGGGTACTTAGAATAGCATGATTTTCCAGATGTCATTGAACAGGAAGAGAGCAAATAGAAATGCAAAATTCAGCAGACCCAGAGATCACAGCTTAGGAGCTGTGATGAAAGGGGGGAAAGAGAGCAAGCAAAAGAAAAAAAAAATTGTACCAAAAAATCCCCCAAAACAAAAAACCCTTTTTATTCTAGACCCAAGGTGTTTTGGCAATGAAACTAAGTATTGGAACTGATTTGAGGATCCTCACAGAGAGGGAGGCAAAACCAGAGACAAATACACATGTGTATTTCATAACCAACCTTGTAAGACAAGTAACAAAGTCCATTTCAAAAATTATAAGCTGAGGGACTTCTACATTCTAGCTTTGATGGAGCAACTGGCATCAGAGCTGCCTTTTTATCATAAATAATTGAAAGACTAGACAAAACTTATGAAGTAATGATTTTCACAGACTGGGCAATAAATCGTAAAAGATGGCAATAAGAGAGAAAAAGAAAAACTAATGAGGTGA